CTCCTCCTACCTGTATTTTATTAAATAAGATTTTAAGTGGTTCTAGCATTTCAGATTGTAAATGTTTATAATAAACAGCTGTTAGTCCGTCTGTTCCTGGAGCCTTACCTATTTTTAATTGTTTAATTACCCCAACAATTTCCTCGGAAGTTATTGGCTGGTTCAATCTTTCTCTCTGTTCCAGCGTTAGTTCGGGAATATCTATCTTTAAATATCTATCAATATCAACATCTTGAATTGAGTCTTTAGCATATAGCTTTGTATAGAAATCCAAAAAAGCCTTTTTTATTAAATTCTGTTGGTAAATCTCCTTACCTCTAAATTCTATCTTGTCTATAGTACGTGATTTTTGCTTTTTTCTCATCGTGTAAGCCAGCCATCTCCCAGGTTTATTGGCATTACAGAATGTATTATGTCTGGCATATTGTATGCTGGTTGCTACTTGTCCAGCCATTAACATATTAAATTGCTCTCTTAGAATTTTTATCATATCTTTTGCCTTTTTATCTCCCGGATTAGTTATAAGCAATTGTTCTTTCTTTTTAATTTCCTCCTCTATCTCTTTCCGTCTGTTTTGTTGTTTTAATCTATATTTATTGTTCAGAAAAATTAATGTTCCCCTCATATATGCCTTACTTGCATCCCATACCATTTCCATCGAGGTACCTTTATTCATATTGTTAACAAAAAATTCTTTCATTTGTTTTTTAAGTTCATTCAAGTTATCTTCATATCTAAATAAATTCTCATTTAACCTCCAAGACCTCCTTTCCCCTCTTTCCTGTTCTAATTCCACCCAAACCGGGCTATGATCAGTTAAAGTTCTTGGACATATCTTCGTCTTCTTCACCCTAGAAAAAAGATCATTTGTAGTTAATATAAAATCAATCCTAGGAAAAGATTTATGCCTATCTGAAAAAGAAGTAAAATCACTTTCCAATACGTTCCTTTCTCTCCAAATATCTCTTACCTCCATATCCTCCAAAATATCAAAAAAAGATTTAGGCAGCTTAGCACGCATGGATATCTTGGATAAACTTTTTTTTATCTTTCTGGGTATTTATTACCCCATTCCAATCACCCATTAAAAGTAAAGATCTGTAATCCCATTGTAGTATTTTAGTATGTAAAAATTTAAAAAAATTGTCTTGCTGTTGGTTAGGTGCATATATTCCAATTACAAGCAGCTTCCCGCTCTGTGTTGTTAATTCAATTGTGATATATCTACCTTGAGCGTCAGCCTCAATTAAATTGGCCGGTAGACCTCTTTTAACATATATAACTAGGCCATTTTTCTTTTCTGGTGCTGATGCCACAAAGTGTGTACCTAATTTCGAATTTATCAAGTACTTTTGATCTGAAAATTTAATATGCGTTTCTTGCAAACAAATAACATCATTCTGAAATTGCTTCAAATAGTGAAATATTTTCTTTCTTTTTTGTGGAGAATTTAAACCATTGACATTCCAAGATAAAAATTTATTTGCCATCTCTAGGCCCTCCAAGCTTTGAAAGCATCAGCCGAACCTCCTCCGCCATTTTGGACTTCAGTTTAGCTCCTCCCACTGCTTGTGATTTTTGGGCTTGTTGGGTTGAATCTTGAGGTTGTTGTGCCAGATGCTGTTTGTAAGTGGCTCTTGTCAATTGTTGTTTTCTTGGCATCTCTATCTTCTTTAATGGCTCAAGGGTTGGTGGTGGACCCCCACTCAGCAATAAATCTTCTTCCAAATTAGCTCCTCCAGCTAAAGCTTGAGCATAGGTTTGTACTTGCCCTCCATCTTTCTCTTGTTGTATCACTTCCAATTGCTTGCTAACACCCCATGGTGAGGGTGGCCGTCCAGCCTTTAAGACATTGGCGTAAAAGTCTTTTGCCTTTCCAACTGTGTTTAAGCGATGTCTTTGCCCAGCTTATGTCACTATTATCCCAAATGGGACATCCCATCTGTACTGGAGCTGTTGGTTTCTTAATTCATTCACCAAGAAACCAAACTGCTTTCTGTCTCTTAACATTTTAGGAGGAAGCTCCTTCAAAACCACCAGCTCTTGTCCATCCACTTGAATCTTGTTTTTGTAAGAAGCTTGCAAAATATCATTTCTAATTCTCCTTGTTGTGAAATAAATCACCACATCTCTTGGTAGCTGCCTTTGTTTTGCCAGCCAAGAGTTAACCCTATAGATTTTGTCCATTTGAATTGCCACATCTTCTGGCCTTTCTGAAATCAGCTCTGCTAAAGCATTGGAGCAAATATCCTTTAAGTTTTCACCATTCTTTTCTTTCAAACCTCTCAGTCTCAGGGCAAATTCCATTGATCTGTATTGTAGCATGACCATTTCATCATCCACTTTCTCTGTTTGTATCATAACCTCTCCTAATTTAGTTGCTAACTCCAAATTAGCTTCATCAACTTCACGTACTCTCTCCTCAATGTTTAACATATGATTAGCCAGTCCTGAAGCTACAAAAACAATGTCATCTCTTATTGCATCATGTTTTTCCTCCACCACATCTTTAATTTTCTTTAACTCCTCCGAGAATTCTTTCATCATTTCTGCCTGATTGTTCAGGGCACCCATTATAAATTCTTTAAGGTCTTGTGACTGTGTATCAGCCGGAAGTTGTTGCTTTTGAGTCACTACAGGGGAACCTCCTCCCCCTTTAGAAGTTGGTGGCTTTAGTTGTTTAGCAGCCATTTTATTTTAAAATGAGTTTTTCCTTTTACAGCCACAAAATCTTATAAACAGTCTTACAATGTTTATTTCAGAGTTTTTCAGAATAAACAATCCTCTCTCCAATCTGTTCTCAGTCCCCAGCAATTTTCTCTTCAAGTGGAAGACTCTTAACAAGCAGTTTCCCTTTAACTTTCACTTTCCCTTCCACCCATAACAAAGGCTTCCTTTCCAGCCACCAGCTCAAGAAAGTTCCGTTTGCAACAATGTATACACGGAATTAAGCTCTGTTTCTTTTAAAAAGCTTGCACTCTTGCTTCCGCTCTGTCTGCCTTCTTAGAAATCATTGAAACTCACTGTTTGCTGGCAGAATTGGACGCGACGTCTGGCTCTGGCTAGCAGAGACACCACCGATCCGGAGCAATGGGAGGGCTGAACTGGGGAGCTCTCACCCTCCGAGTCCCTGGGATTAATCCAGGGACTTTCGGGGAGCTCTACCCACCCCCTCCGACTCTCCTCTCCTTCTTTGCCCGAAGGAGAGTTTTTTCAAACCGCCGGACAGCAGTTTAGCGCTGTCACGGCGGTTTTAACAGATCGGGTGGCTGGCGGTCAATGGAGACCGTCCTCGATGTCCACAAAGCCACCGGAAGTCCCACCGCATCATGTTTTATAGTACTGTATATAAAGAAGTTTCTTTTATAAATGAATCTTGTTGACTTTTTTACTTGTGTGCTGGTTGGATTGCTGCAAACTCTAAAAGATTATGGGCCCAGAGCACACCAAGCACACAGTAAAAATTGAACTGTAATTAAGCTGAAGGACAGCCTGTATTATAAAAAAAAGAGAACAAGGCTGAGAAGGCTTGCAGGATGGCTGTTGAGTTCGAGGAGAGCTCTCTGCCTCAATAGGGAAAGAAGAATTATATTATTTGGGCTGCAAAAATGGAATGCTTTCTGAAGGCTAAGGAGCTCTGGGATATTGTTATTAATCCACCCCAAGCACCATTAGCAGCTGCAGATGATAAGGCATTGGCCTGCATCATCTTAAATTTAGAAGATGAACAATTCTTGAATGTAGCTGATTTAAAAATTGCAAAGGAGGTTTGGCTGAAATTGAGAAGTGTGCATGTGAATGTGCACAGGGCATAAAGTAGGATAATCTGTATATGTTGCAGCGACAAAAGGTTCAATGTGCCCAAACATTTGAAAATATGGCACAACATGATTCATGCATTTATCTCTCGCTTAGAAAGCTTGGCCATGCCAGCTTCAGAGTTTTGCAAAAGATGCAACAGTTTGGAGAAGGTTTAAACTTAAAAGGGTTTAAGGCATACTTGGACTGTGTAGTATGTAAATCATCAAAGTCCAGGGCATTCCCAGTAAGCAAGAGTAGTACAAGTCAGACAACAAAAGCTCTAGAGCTGATACATGCAGGTTTGGTGGGGCCAATGCAAGCCAGTTTGGGAGGAGCAAAGTATGCACTGGACATTGTAGATGACTACAGTAGATTTGGTTTTTGCTATTTACTAAAGACTAAAACAGAGGTGCCAAAGAAATTTAAGCAATGGGTAAACTTTGTAGAAAGGAGATATAAACAACAGCTATGGGAAGTTTTGCTTCAGACCAATTTACAACATATAACAGAACAACTTTGGGACTTTTTTTTATGGATATAAATAAAGTTGAGAACTTCTTGAGATTATGTATTTATTGTATATCGATCTTAAAAAGCTGGGTTATTATGTAGTACATAACCCTTCAACACTCCAGTCCCACAAGCAAAAGAAAAGTCTGTCACAGAAACCTGCTTGGCCCAAATAAGAGATTAGGCAGAAAATTAAAATATTTCCCTTTTGTTACTCTCTACTGAGAGACATAGGAATTGTTTAACACCAAAACGTTGGCTGAATGGTTTCTCACTGAGTAATGATTAACTTGATTCTATTGCTTTACCTATGTATATATGCATTTATTTATCAGTCATATTTATATGGCCATCTTTAACTAAAAAGTAAAATATTTGTTCCGGAAGGTTTTGTTAGATATTGCTTACAGACATGAAGATTTCGCAATTCATCCTGTATCCCATAATTTTAATAGATTCTTTATATACTTTCTATTGATCTTTAAAAGCTGGGTTATTATGTAATATAAGTGAAACTGGTTTGATAAGCTTTTAATGATTTCATTATTTGCGTAACACATGTCAGGACAGATCAAATTCCTGTTGAGAAAAAAACAAGGGCAAAGTTCAAAAATCCTTTATTGAACAGAGCAGCCTGAGGATTCAGTAGAAAGAGTACCTGGGCTCTGTGGAAGGAGGCGGAGCTAAGATGGAGGACTGGTAGGATATATGCTTCTCCTGCTCGGCTTTTACGTTTTTTACTTCGTCTTTTATTGCAGTTTTTTTTTTACCTGGGCTCTGCCTATTGCATTGCTTTGAAATACATACTGGAATCAATTCAGATTTCAAAATTCCTTGTAATTTTCACTGAAGATTCCTTACTGAAAGGAAATGGAATGGACCGGAGCAATTTTAACTTTATTCCTATTTATTTTTGCAATTACGTTCCTTTTGAAAAAGAACAGTTCCAGGAATAACATCTCCCACAATCTCCCTCCGGGACCCAGAACTATACCTATTTTGGGAAATCTGCACATGATAGATCTGAAGAGGCCTTACAGAACATTGATAGAGGTAAAGCCTGATAATTAACAAGTCTCTTTACCATTCTTTGTCAAAACTTGTTGGGATGGGACAAAAACCTTATAACTTGGTCGGGTAAGTCTGATGTGCTCCCTGATGGTATTTACTGTATATGGAAATGTTCAAAAAGTGGAGATTTAGCTGATATCTGAATACATTTAAATATTTTGGAAGGATTATTTCAAGAAAATCTTTTTGTTAATCAATGTAAAATGTTCTAATTGAATAAATAATTTTCTGATTATTTAAATTTGCGGAAATGTTCAAATCCTAAGGAGCCTTTGGGAAAATATAAATGCTTTTAAGCTCGAATAACTGGAGATCAGTGGTGGGTTGCTACCGGTTCTCCCCAGTTCTTGAGAACTGGCAGTGGAAATTTTGAGTAGTTCGGAGAACTGGTAAATACCACCTCTGTCTGGCCCCGCCCCCAATCTATTCGCTGCCTCCCAACTCCAAGCTGATCAGCTAGAAGGAAAAATCAGGGCTCACTTGACAAAGAGAAAAAAACCACAAGACACTGTCGCTTTAAATTGACAAGCCAAGAAGCAGCTGCTGGAAGGAGGTTTTTACTTGCAGAAGCGAAGTGACATTCAGCAATTCATTTTTGGATCAGCTGAACAACAAACTGGATAAGAGGAGGGATTCTTATGTGGTTCTATGTTTTTGAAGTTTTGGGGTTTGTGCAACATGGGCTTTGTGTTTCTAAAAAGGTTTGGGTGATTTCCAGTGTGAAATATCCTGTCTTGAATGTGTTTTCTGCCTGCTTGTAGATGGAGCCGAACTTCCGGCTTCCACTTTCTATTATCTCTAAGCACCTGTAGCTGTTTTCTTCTTAAAAAGTTTCCTTTATGCAGCTGGCAGGAATATGGAATGAGTGTCATGTAGGCTCCTTATTAGCACCTTGATTTTTCTTTGCTTTTCCTTGCTTTTCTGGGAGCCTTTTCTTTTCTGAGTAATATTTTATTTGGGGAAATGAAGAGTGGGGAGTTTGATTCCTTCCCAGAGCAGGTTAGTGGTGTGGGGAGGGAATGGGGATTTTGAAGTAACCTTCCTCTGCCATGCCTGCCACACCACACCCACCAACCCACACCCACAAAACCAGTAGTAAAAAAATTTGAAATCCACCACTGCATAAGTCCATCTTAATATGTTATTCCTGGTATGTGATGTTTTGTATACATTCAGAGAAAGAAGCACTCTTGTAATCTTTGACTTTTAGGCTTGCTGTCAAACATCAGCCATAATACTAATGACTGTTTTGAACAATATGCAGGTTGTATTACACGAATGGCTATTTTATATGTGAAATTATGACTTAAATATTTCTGCACCTGTATTGGTTCACACTGTCAGGAAATTTCTCCTTAGTTTTAGGTTGCTTCTCTCTTTGTTCAGTTTCCATCCATTGCTTCTTGTTTTGCCTTCTGGTACTTTGGAAAATACATTGCCCCCCCTTCTTTCTGGCAGTCCCTTAAAAGCCTGTTGCCTATCACACTTTTGGGCAAAGCATGTGAGCCATTTCCTCCTTTCAGTGGTCTATGAAAGTGCATCTATAGTATGTAGATAATAAAATTGAAAAAAGGTGAACAACATTTTTACAGAACTATAGATACGTTGAGGCTGGGTGTGACAAGGATTGGCTGAGAGGGGAGGGGCCAGGCAAGGCACTCCTTGACATGAGTGACATTGTGTTGGCCACGCCTACCCAGTCACATGACCATCAAGCTATGCCCACTGTCACATGACCATCAAGCCATGCCCACAAAATAAGCCACGCCCACAGAACCGGTAGTAAAAAAAATTTAGAGCTCACCCCTGTTGGAGATGTACTTAGAAACACTCCCACGTTTGCACATTTTAAGCAGAATTATAAGCCATTAAATCGATTTCTGCAATAGCCAGTACACAACCAAAATTAAGGGCAGAACAAGAAGTAAAGAGTGGAAACTTGTTAAAGAGAGATACAACTTAGAAGTTAGACACATTTTCTGACAGTGAGAACAATTAATCAATGGAATAACCTGCTTCTTGGAGTTGTGGGTGCTCCACCACCGGAGGCTTTCAAAAATATACTGGACAAAAATTTGACTGGGATGGTATAAGGCTCCTGCCTTGAGTAGAGGGTTGGAATAGAAGACCTCCAAGGTCCCTTCTAGGCCTATGATTCTATGATTCACAATATGTCCTGCACAGATGATGTTGTTCCAACATATTAGAACCCTTTTCTCAACTTGACAAGCATTTCTATTGTGAGGATCTTTTATTATATAAGCATTTTTAAATATTAAATATAGAACGTATGAAAATTTTAAAAATATAAAGAATAATATACCATCGCAATTCTCAATAGAATAGAAAAAGGAAATAACATTATATGTGCCTCTGAATTTTGACATGTAGTTTCTTAAACATCTTCTACATATGTGATTCCAATCATTGATTAAAATTGTCTCTTTGATTCCCTTCTGCTGAATTCCAGTGGTCAAAAGAATATGGTCCCGTTTTCCGTATCAAACTGGGATTGCAGGAGATGGTGGTGCTGATAGGCTATGAGACGGTCAAAGAGGCTCTAGTGAACCAGGCAGAGGCATTTGCAGAGAGGCCCTTTGTTCCCATTTTTGAAGAGGCAAAAAAAGGGTTTGGTGAGTTATTTCATTTTGGATTGTAGTTGAAAACCTTTCAGATGTGTGATCAGTATAGATTTTTTTCATTTGAGGTTTGCACCAGAAGAATCTCAGATGAATGAATTAGCTTCTGAAAATCCAACCAAGATGAAAATCCAACTAAAACCTTTCTTGTGCCACTGTGGCTTTGTCCCTCAGTGCCAATGGAGGTAACTTCAGAATAAAAAGCTGTGTCAATATCGTATCAAGCCCCTGAGCCTCACATGCTCCTCACCACCCTGTTTCATTCTGCATATTGGCAAATTTGGGGGTGGGGATGGGTGTTTGAGGAATTGCATAGGAAGGATTTCTGCCTGCCTCTCTCCTCATATACATGGTTATACAAACTTTTTCTTTGTGCAATGTTTTTGCCAGTGTCTCTCAGAGATTAAGATCCTTTCGACCAGCTAGGACTCACTGGTGAATTTCTGCATCCTTAAAAGATACTGTAAATTTGCTTTTAAGTTTTTAAAATGTATGATGTTTGGACTAGGCAGAAAAAAAGTGTTTGGTATATGAATATTTGAAAAATAATAATGTATTAAGATGCCAGATGATTTGGAATTATAGTTTTGAATCATTTATAAGATATTTGCATATAGAAAAATGAAGATTGCTTTCATTTTTGCTTTGTTTTGTTTGTTTTGCTTTGGTAAGGATATGCTGAAGGCTGGATAGCAAAGGCAGAGGATAAAGGAAATGGAGTAGAAATCTTTAACACAAACTTTGAAACACCTTTCAGCAGAGGTGGGCTGCTGGTGGTTCAGATCAGTTCAAGGAAACCTGTAGTTGCAACCTGCTGGTGGGCCTGCCTCAGCTGCTGCCCACCCGCCCGGGCGCAGTCCCATCATATATCGCTGTGGTTTTGATGCCGCACGCATGTGTGAGAGGCGCACGCAAGCAAATTGCTGTATTTTTTGATGTGGATGGCACGCGAGAGCGAATTGCCATGTTTTGTGATGCCGCACGCATGAGCACTCACATTTCCGGTGCTGGGCGAACCGGTTGTTACAGTATGTGACGCCCACCTCTGCCTTTCAGCCAGTACCTTGGACAGACTGGATGAAATGCTTGATCAAATTGATAGAACACATTTTAATGAAGTTGTAAAACAAGAATGAGCAAAGTATGATAAAATTATATTTCACTATCTTATCCATTTTCTCTTCAGGTCTTGTTGTTGCTCATGGTGAGCACTGGAAAGTGATGCGACGGTTTACATTATCCACATTGCGGGACCATGGAATGGGCAAGAGGACCATTGAGGACAAAATCACAGAAGAGTGCAGTGTCTTAACAAAGACAATGGAGACTTATGCAGGTGGGTCAGTATACTGTAATGGAGCATCTTCTGGGATAAATGTAGAACAGAAAATAATTTCTGCAGGTTATATCAAATGACCAATGTACCTTTTCTAAAACAATTCTTAGACCCATTGTTTTTCCCCTATAAACATGCTTCCTTGTCCAATTTATGCTAAGTATATTTACAGAAATGTGACTTATGGATGGAAAAATGGTTCCAGAGGACTTGAATTGTTGATTCAGTGTAATACGACAGTCTCTCATCAATCACTTCTAGACTTATTCTTCTTTAGAGACTCCTCTAAATCCTCTATTTAGAGGGGGTTGCAAGTCCTTCATCTAAGCATGAAAATGTGTTGTAAACTGGAGTTCTTGCTCCTCCCTGCTTTTGGTCAAGCCATTTGATCTTTAAAATTGCAATAATTTAGTGAGGATGCATTGCAATAACTTTGCTAAATATTTTATCCTCAAGAGTTCAATAGTTGCAAAGAAAACATCACTGATGTATGGTCAGATATTACAGCTCTGATTCTGGGAAAATGCATTACTATTAAAATACTTTTTTCATATTTTTAATATAAGTAACTTCCAATGTTATCAGCACTAGCTATAGCTTTCTGTGAGCAATGCTCCCTTTATGTAAGTTGATTTTGAGTACAAATGGAGTAGAAAAGAAATTTAATCCTGGTTTTATTCACAATTTTTTTTAATCTATTGTTTTTGTCCAGGAAAACCCTTTGACATTACAAGAATTCTCACTGCTGCTGTTTCCAACATCATAGTTTCTATTCTACTTGGGAAACGCTATGAATATGAAGATGCCACATTTTTACGACTACTGAAGATAATGAGGGAAAATGTTCACCTTGGGGGAAGCCCTGCTGTGATGGTAATCTAATTTCATATTTGGCCCAAAAAATGCCATGAAAAATAGGCAGCAGAATCTGTGTCATTCAAGCTTTGTTGAAAAGCAAAGCATGTTGCTTCCCATAGCACTGTTTTGACAAAAATGTTTGAGATTTCCACCTGAAAAAATTCAAAATATTCGATATATGCCAGTGGCGGTGGCCCTGCCCGAGCTACTCAATGTTATAGCCGTGGTGGCGGTTGATACCCCTAGCCTTATGGTCATGGGAGATTTTAACCTGCCATCCATTGGTGAGGTGTCTGAGATGGCTCGGGAGTTCATGGCTTCCATGATGGCCATGGACCTGACCCAGTTAGTTCATGGCCCTACTCTCATGGGGGGAAACACGCTGGACCTGGTTTTTGTCTCTGGTCAGTGGTTAAGTGATCTTAAGATAGGGGATATAACGATCGAGCCCTTGTCATGGTCAGATCACTCCCTCCTTCACTTTGACCTTCGAACCACCACACCCCGCCACAGGGAGGCGGAACCAATGAGGTGGTTCCGCCCACGCACCTGATGGATCCGGATAGGTTCCAGATGGAGCTTGGGCCATTTCCTGAGGCTCTGGCTCACAGATCGGTTGAACACCTAGTGGCCGCCTTGGATAGGGCGGCCACTGGAGCTTTGGACCGGGTTGTGCCTTTGCGGCCTCTGACCCTGCGCCAGTCTCACCCAGCTCCTTGGTTTACCGAGGAACTGAGGGAGATGAAGCGCCAGAAAAGACGCCTGGAGAGCAGTTGGAGGGCCAGCCATTCTGAATCCAACTGAACACTGGTAAAGTCTTATATTAAGACCTAGCTGGTGGTGATAAAAGCAGGAAAGTGTAATTATTTTTCCGCTCTTATTGCGTCATCAGATAATCACCCGGCTGCCCTGTTTAGGGTGACCCGCTCACTGCTCCACCAGGAAGCGCGGGAGGATCCCTTGGAGGGTAGAGCCGAGGACTTTGTACAGTATCTGTATGACAAAATTGCTCAGATTCGGGAACACCTGGACTCTGACTGGGTAGATTCAGGTGGGATGATGGAGGCAGGTCTTGAGAATATTACCTGGGAAGAGTTTGATTCCGTGACTCCCGAAGACGTGGACAGGATACTGGGTAGACTGAGTTTGACCACATGTTTAATGGACCCGTGTCCCTCCTGGTTGGTGCTGGCCTCCCGGGAGGTTACTCGCATAACCTCCCGGGAATAATCCAGGGGATTATTAATGCTTCCTTGAGTGAGGGTGTCTTCCCCGCCTTCCCCGCCTTGAAGGAGGCGGTGGTAAGGCCTCTCCTCAAGAAGCCTTCCCTGGACCCGGCAGTGTTGGCTAATTATCCTCCAGTCTTCAACCTTCGCTTTGTTGTGAAGGTTGTTGAGAGTGTGATAGCGCGACAGTTTCCTCAGTACCTGGATGAATCGGCTTATCTAGATCTGTTCCAGTCGGGCTTCAGGCCAGGGTACAGCACGGAGACGGCATTGGTCGCATTGGTCGATGATCTCTGGAGGGCTCAGGACAGGGGTTGCTCCTCTGTCCTGGTCCTATTAGACCTCTCAGCGGCTTTTGATACCATGGATCATGATATCATGCTGCACCTGGATCAGGACTCGTTACGCACAGTTACTCATGCCCTCGTCACTTCCCGCCTGGACTACTGTAATGCTCTCTACATGGGGCTCCCCTTGAGGAGCACCCAGAGGCTCCAGCTGGTCCAGAATGCGGCCATGTAGGTGGTTATGGGAGCGATGTGGCGCTCCCATGTGACTCCCCTCCTGCGCGAGCTGCACTGGCTCCCGGTGGTCTTCCGGGTACACTGCAAGGTTTTGGTTACCACCTTTAGAGCACTCGATGGCTTAGGACTGGGGTACCTACAAGACTGCCCTCTGTACACCAATATCCTCTCACCGACCAGTACGCTCCCATAGAGAGGGTCTTCGCAGAGTGCTGTCGGTCAAACAATGTCAACTGGCGGCCCCCAGGGGGAGAGCCTTCTCTGTGGGGGCACCTGCCATCTGGAACGAGCTCCCCCCGGAGATACGGAGGATCCCGGATCTGCGCACTGTCCGCCGCACCCTCAAAACATTCCTATACCAGCAGGCTGGTCTGGCCTAATCTCCCTTTTTAATTGCTTTTAAATTGGTTTTATAATTGGCCAAAGTATTTAATGTATTTTAAATTGTTTTTAATGTTTGTATTATGTATATTTTCCTTTTTTGGCTGTTCACCGCCCTGAGTCCTTCGGGAGTAGGGCGGTATATAAATTTAATTATAAATAAATAAATAAAATAAAAAAACTTCCATAATATGTGTTTTCCTTTATCATTCTTTTAGATATATAATTTGTTTCCCAAATTGGGGTTCCTTTTGGGTGCTCCTAAAACAATAATGAAGAATCAAAAGGAGCTGCATGATTTCATACAGACCACCTTCATAGAATATCTCCAAGACCTTGATGAAAATGATCAGAGGAATTTTATTGAATCATTTCTTGTTCGGCAAAGGCAGGTAATGGATTATTTTACTCATATCTGTTATTACCAATTTTTTTAAAAAAAATTTTTTAAATGACCCTCCATATATACTGTCTGCAGGTTGGTTAAGATCTTTCTTTCAGAAATATAGAACAAAACAAATTTCCAAAACAATTTTAACCATTCCCTCTTCATTATTTTATTTCAGAATCTGCAGCTACTTAAAACTACACCCAGACTGATTTCTCTCTCCATTAAAAATGCCCTAAATATTGATCCCTTTCTGGAGGAATGGGTCCAAGTGGGGGTGGGAATGGGTGAACCTTTTGTGCCAATCATTTCTTTTTCTGTGCAACAGTTTGATTTCCTTCTAGAAATCTGGTAAACTTGGGACAACTATAACCTCTCAGGGAGTCTATTAACTACATATGAAGTGACCTCTTAGTTTTCAGGAATATTGATCATGTGGGTACATTGAGTTCTCTTACTACTATTTTTTTTATACACTTCAGGAGAATATGAAGATGACACATGATGGACATTTCCGTAATGAAAATCTTATAAGTCTTGTAGATGATTTATTTGGTGCTGGTACAGAAACAACGTCAAACACTCTGCGCTGGGCCATACTCCTAATGATGAAGTACCCAGAAATTCAGAGTAAGCACTTTCATAAAATTGGCTTGCATTTTAAGCATTTTAATTTCTTCTTCCATTTTTTACTTTATTGTTTTCTTGTGTTTCTTGTTTCTCTCTGTACTCTTCCTCTTGTGCCTTCCTGTTCTATTTGTTCTTTCCTGTGTCCTTTTTTCTTCTCTCTCTCTCTCTTTTTCCTCTATTTGATCTTCTTCCTGGCTTCGACTCTCCACCTCTTCTCTAATCTCTTGTTCCTCTTCAGTTGTGAAATGATGTTCATAAAATTATTGCACTTTATCCAGCGTATCTATTTTAAAAAAAATTTCTTGCCATGTGATTAGGATGCCTTTCGGCACCAGCCACCTATACATAACCTTGTATCTGGTTAATTGAGATGTTAGAAACTGTACTGTCGTCTTTGATTTCTCACCCTTCGTGGTATTTGTTTCAATGTTATTATACAATGTTATCTTTCCCCTTGTATATTATCAGTTCTTCCCTCGTTTTTTTGTATATTTCATCCCTTATCGCTCTCTTAGTAAACCTTACATGCACTTCTTTGGCTAGTTTGTGTCTTTGTGCATAATTAGTATTCACTCTGTATATTAGTATACATTTTTGCTCCATTGTTTCCATTTTTCGGTCTACTTGTTCCATTTTTGTTTCTAATGATTTTATCCTCCGTTCATTTTCTATAATAGCTTGTTGTATGCTCCCTATTTTGTCATCCATATTCTTGATATCTCCTTTCATTTCTCCCATTTCAGTCTTAATTTCTTCATGATGTTTTTTTGTTTCCTCATGATTGTTTGCTATCACCTCTTACATTTTAGTCATCGTTTCTTAAATCATTAGCAAGGTTCTTTGCATATTCTGGACACTCAATGCGGAACCTGTTTTCTCCATCCCCAGCATACTCGCTATTGATCTTTGGTTCAAGGGTGATGACATTGCAGATACCGGTTTTGAAGCTGTTTTTTTCCCTATTTGGTTATGGTAGTTGTACTTGTCATTTTTATCACTTGGCAGATATTTTTCAACAATGACATACAATTTTAACTCAAATTAAGTTAAGTTTAAGATTAAAGTTTAGTTATTAGTTCTAACACTCCCAAAGTATCTTATATATCTAAATATAGCAATATACTAATGTAAAATTAATTAACTTCAATGTTATATAAATATATCGAGGATATCTGTAGTACATTAGGATGTCAGTACATTAGTTAGTGTATATAATTCTGACATCAAATGGGTTCTGTAGAAATAAAATCATCAGTATGATCCAACATGCAACACCTAGAAAGAAGAAAAAACAACAAGAGGAACAAAACAATGGGAAAGCCATCTTGCCCTATATAAGGGGAACAACAGATAAAATTAGCAAAGTACTACATAGACACAACATCAAAACCATATTTTGCACAGATAGAAAGATATCGTCCATTCTGAGAAACCCTAAGGACAAAATAGAATTAGAAAACCAAGGCATATACGAAATCCCGTGTGCTTCCTGCCCATCAACATACATTGGACAGACCAACAGAAGAATGAGTGTGCGCATCGAGGAACACAAAAACTCAATACAAAAGCAAGAACACACATCATCATTAGTTCAACACATAAATACAACAGGACATAATATTAATTTTAATAACACAAAAACAGTTGCAAAAATAGAACATCTCAATGGCAGGATAATCAGAGAAGCAATAGAAATAGAGAAAAGACCATATTGCATGAATAAACGGGATGACACTTCACGTCTGCCTACTATTTGGAAACCTGCTCTCATAGATAGATGAATCTTAACACCAAATATAAAACATAGATCAAGTATTAATCAAAAAGCATGTACAAGTCCCAACCAAATCATATTCAAACCAGCCACAAAGATGAAGCCCTGCCACCTGGTGGAGAAAAACCGACCATACACTTGAAGCCAAGCCAATAAACACATACTGGGACTCCCAACCAATCAGAATGAAAAGGTGGAGCCATCCCAGACTACCAGCACCAGATTTGAAATAGTAACGGCAGTTACTGCAAAAGACTCCTCACATAAGCCTGATGATGGCAGATGAGATTCTGTCAAAATGTCGCTTCTACCCTTTTAGGAATATATCCGCAATTACACGGGAAGAAACCCGAAATATTAACTATACACACATATATACCCGTGAAAACTTACATGCATACATGCATACATACATACATACATACATACATACATACATATATATATATATGTAGGTGTTTGGTTATTCGGGTTTTCTCCCACGTAAAATTGGAAGTGTCTTGGCGACGTTTCGACAAAGTCTCATTCGACATCTTCAGGCTGGTGTTTTCGGCTTCGTGCTTCTAGGAGCAATGTGTGATTGCAACTCTTTCTTCCTTTTAACTGCTAGTGGGGGTGTGAACTGATTGGGTGGGAGCTTGGCTGTGTTCTGATTGGGTGGAGGTGTGTTCTGATTGGTTGGGGGGCTTGGCTGTGCTCTGATTGGATGGGGGTGTGTTCTGTTTGGGTGGGGGCTTGGTTGTGCTTGGGTTAGTCTGAGTTGCAGGGGGATTTGAGCTGGTGAGCTGCGTTACTGTTGTTTGGCTTCACATTCGTGGTCGTGCCACATCTTCATGGTGGGTGTCAGTCTGCTTCATGTATGGATTGGAGGGGTTTAAAGTGGCTAATGATGCAGCTGCGGTCTGGCTTCTGGTCCGTGGTCATCTCTCATCATCGGTGTGGGTTTGAGTCTGCTTTACACGTGGATGTGTGGTGGTGACATCCTGTGTGGCTCTTGTGAGTGTGGGTCTGGTGTCATTCCTTGTGTTAGGGACTCATTTGTCAATAAGGGCGGGTTTCCAAATGGCTGGTAGGTGGGAGGTATCATCTCGTTTATTCATGCTGTGTGGGCGTTTTTCTATCTCGATGGCTTCTCTGATTATTCTGTTGTTAAAGTGTTCAGTTTGGGCGATAGTTCTGGTCTTTTTAAAGTCAATTTCATGTCCTGTGGCTTTAAGGTGTTGGACCAGGGAAGAAGTTGGTTCCTCTTTTCTGACTGAGTTCTTGTGTTCTTCAATGCGTGCACTTATTCTTCTGTTGGTTTGTCCAATGTATGTGGTGGGGCAGGCGGTGCATGGGATTTCATATATTCCTTGATTTTCTAACTCAATTTTGTCTTTGGGGTTTCTTAGGATGGTGGATATTTTTTGGTTTGTGCAGAATGCTGTCTTGATGTTGTGTTTGTGGAGGATCTTGCTGATTCTGTCTGTGGTGCCTTTTATGTATGGGAGGAGGGCTTTGCCGTTTTCTTGTTCTCTGTCTTAGATTTTAGTGGGGGTTTCTTTTTGGATTAGGTTGGTAATCTTATTTCTTTGGAACATTGGATGTTAGTACGTTGGTGAGAGTGTGTAGTTCGGTTTTTAGGTGTTGTTCGTCAGCTAAGCGTTTTGTTCTGGAGATGAGTATCTTGGCTACGGAGTTGATCTGTGCTGGGTGGTAGTGTGAGAGTGCGTGCAGATAGAGGTTTGTGTGTGTTTTCTTCTGGTAGATGGTGTGTCCTAGGGAGCCATTGGATTTCTTGTAGACTAAGACATCCAGGAAGGGAAGTTGGTTGTTAGCTTCTGTTTCCATGGTGAACTGTATTTTGGGGTGTAGGCTGTTGAGGTGTGTGAGGAAGTTGTCCAGTTTTTCTTTCCCATGTGGCCGGATTATGAAGGTGTCATCTATGTATCTGAGCCAGAGTTTGGGTTTGTGATAAGATTTTTCTAGAGCTTGGGTTTCAAAGTGTTCCATGTAGAGGTTTGCAATGACAGGTGAGAGGGGTGATCCCATGGGTGCTCTGCTATTTGTTTGTATTTTTGTCCGTTATAGATGAAGTATGTGTTGGATAGGCAATGGTTGGTCAGATCTAGGATGTGCTTGGGGGAGTTATATTTGTTTTGGATAGCTGTCAAGGCTTCTTCGATGGGCACTTGGGTGAAGAGGGATATGACATCGAAGCTCACAAGTAGGTCGCTGGGCTGTAAGTTTTGTTTCTTTATGATCTCTATGAGACTCTGACTCATGGCTCGGCTGAGGATCTGGTGGCCGCCTGGAATAGGGCGGCCGCTGATGCTTTGGACCGAGTCGTGCCTGTGCGGCCTCTGACCTGTCGCCGAGTCTACCTGGCTCCTTGATTCTCCGAGGAGCTGAGGGGGATGAAGCGCCAGAAAAGATGCCTAGAGAGCAGTTGGAGATCTAGCCGCTCCGAATCCGACCGAACACTGGTAAGATCTCATATTAAGACTTACCTAGTGGCGATAAAAGCCAAAATGTAACTATTTTTCCGCTCTTATCGCATCGGCAGATAATCGCCCGGCCGCCCTGTTTAGGGTGACCCGTTCCCTCCTTCATCTGGGAGTGCGGGAGGATCCCTTGCAGGGTCGTGCCGAGGATTTTGTTCAGTATCTGCACGATAAAATCATTCAGATTCGGGAAGGCTTGGTCTCTGACTGGGTAGGTACAGACGGGATGATGGGTGTCGGTCTTGAGACTGCCATCTGGGAGGAGTTCGACCCTGTTGCTCCCGAGGACATGGACAGGATACTGGGGCGGCTGAACGCGACCACATGTTTATTGGACCCGTGTCCCTCCTGGTTGGTGCTGGCCTCCCGGGAGGTTACGCGAGGCTGGCTCCAGGGTATTATCAACGCTTCCTTGAGCGAGGGTGTCTTGCCGTCCGCCTTGAAAGAGGTGGTGGTGAGGCCCCTCCTCAAGAAGCCTGCTCTGGATCCGGCTGTTTTGGCTAACTATCGTCCGGTCTCCAACCTTCCCTTCTTGGCGAAGGTTGTTGAGAGTGTGGTGGCGCAACAGCTTCCTGGGTACCTGGATGAAGCTGTCTATCTGGATCCGCTCCAGTCCGGCTTCAGGCCTGGGCACAGCACGGAAACGGCATTGGTCGCGTTGGTGGATGATCTCTGGAGGGCTCGGGATAGGGGTTGTTCCTCTGTCCTGGTCCTGTTAGATCTCTCAGCGGTTTTTGATACCA